ATGGCCACCAGGAGGTTGAGCGGGTCATTGCACACCGCCACTACGGCAACAAGCCGACGCAGTACAAAGTCAGATTCCGACAATGTGACCGCGGCGACACACGGTGGATCTCCTGGGATGCTTTGAAGACTTCTGCACCAGACATCTACGCCGAGTACGAGTGCCGACTCTTGGCTACCGAAGCTTCACATCAGCAGCCTAACCGTCCCACCCGGACTACGGTCCCTCCCTCAGATCAACAGCTCCGCCCTCGTCGGTAGACTCGGTCTTTCAAGAAGAGGGGGCTGTGGCACATGTAGATCCCACATGGGCCCAGTAGGACCAGTCAAGTAGGTAGGAGGGGGTAGGGACTCTCTTCGGGCTGGGACATTAGTTTCGTGGCCCGAAGTAGGGCCTGTTCGGTTCAAGCCAGAAAAAGGGCTGTTTTAGGCCCACACCAGGTTCGGCCTGGCGCGGCCCTGGTCCTGGTAACGGTTCAGGCTCTGGCCTCCTTTTTTTCTCAGGCCACACTTGGACCGTCAGATTCAATCCAAAGTGTACGGCCAGATTGTTTCCCAGGCCATTCATTCTGCGCCTCACGTTTAGGCCAGTAGGACCTAGGAGAGGCCAGACCAATAGTATTTATAGACTGGTCTGCCTCTCACTCAGTAGGTTAGTGTGAGCTAGTATTCAGCATTATGCTGCGTTAGTCTTCAGCGCTGGGCGCAGTCGCGGTAGGTTAGAGGTAGCGAGCGTGGAGGCTGTAGTGGAGGCTGCAGCAGGAGAGAGGCGGAGGCCAGACACTGAGACTTACCTGATGACTCACCTGGGGGCGCCATAGCTCCAGCTTCGTCTTCAGCGCTCCAGTACCGACGTCAAGGCAATACCTTTACACGGTCAGTATCTGGTACCAGCAGAGAGAGAGGGTGGGAGAGGATTCTTCTTCTTCTTCTTCTTCTTCTCTCCTCCGGACCTCCTCCATCCTCCATCGCTCAGTCTTCTACTTCCATCTGGATACGCGCGCG